TAGAGCTGGGCATCAGCTGCAATTTTCTCTGAATCTGTCCCAGATGAGCACTTGCAGCCTAATTGTCTAAAAGATCAGGAAATGCCATAGTGAAGTTGCACTTGCTTTGATGTAATAATGAATGTTTCCTTCATCTGAAGAACATTTGAAATTTACGGAAAAGTAAATCTTTTCTTTGAATTATATGTAAATGAAAATGTTGGGCTGGACCAGGTTATGTTTAACTGGGCAGTTTTGAAATTCTAATAGCTCCTACAAGTGGGAATCTTTTAAAGCTAATTTTTTGATATGAATTATTTATCATTCTAAAGAATAATATTCACTTTTTTTTTTTTCCTGGATCTCATGTAAATGTTATTGGACAATATGACCCATGTCTTTAAAAAGTGAAATTGTTGGCTGGGAGCTGTGGCTCGCACTTGTAATCCCAGCACTTTGGGAGGCTGAGGCAGGAGGATCACTTGAGCCCAGGCTTTTGAGACCAGCCTGGACAACAGCGAGACCTCATTTCTACAAATAATAAAATAAACTGGCTGGATGTGGTGTCTTGCACCTTTGGTCCAAGCTACTCTGGAGGCTGAGGTAGGAGGATTGTTTGAACCTGGGAGGTGGAGCCTGCAGTGAGCCCTGATCATGCCACTGCACTCCAGCCTGGGCAGCAGAGTGAGACCCTCCCCAGCTCTAAATAAATAAATAAAGGTAAAATCGCTGATTGGTCACTAGGGAGAGGAGAGAGAAAAGTAAATATACTCAAAGAGTGGGAAAGGCTTTGAAGTGGCATATCAAAATGAAAAAAACAAGAGTTTTTTTTTACAGACAAAAGATTTATGGGGAATTATATATTAGAACTATTTAAGACTTCTTAACACTTCACGATTGTATGGTTTTGTAGGGTTTTTGGGGATTTTCATAATGAGATGTAGATGGAACGTTCCCATTGCCCATCACAGATTATTCAGGCAAGTTCATACCCACTCCTAGAATGGAGAAGGGTCCCCTTCTCTGTGGTGAGGAAGTGCCCCTGTTCCTTAAGAGGCAGCAGCAGGAGGTGGAACACAACATCCCGCTTGTTAAACTCATGGGCTTTAGGCTGGGCGCAGTGGCTCACGCCCGTAATCCCAGCACTTTGGGAGGTCAAGGCGGGTGGATCACCTGAGGTCAGGAGTTCGATACTAGCCTGTCCAGCATGGAGCAATCCAGTCACTACTAAAAATACAAAACTGAGCTGGGTGTGGTGGCGGGCACCTGTAATCCCAGCACTTTGGGAGGTCAAGGCGGGTGGATCACCTGAGGTCAGGAGTTCCAGACCAGTCTGACCAACATGGAGAAACCCTACCTCTATTAAAAATGCAAAAATTAGCCGGGTGTGGTGGCACACACCTGTAATCCCAGCTACTCGGGAGGCTGAGGCAGGAGAATCGCTTAAACGCGGGAGGCTGAGGTGGTGGTGAGCTGAGATCGTGCTATTGCACTCCAGCCTGGGCAACAGAGTGAGACTCCATCTCAGAAAATAAATAGATAAATAAATAAAAATAAAGTCATGGGCCTTGATGGGAGGCTGTACGTTGACATGTGACATTAGACTTCTGCCATTGTTTCAGATTTCACACCTGCCCTTCTGGCTACATGGTGTTGCTGTGAGATCTTGAGAAGAGATGAATGATACTTTCCAAGTAGTAATATTCCATTAGGGAAAATAGGAATAAAATTGGAAAGCATCAGATATTTGAAAGGAAACGAAAACAGGGCTTACTTTCCCTTTCGGTTGGCGTTAGGAGGGTGCGCTTTGGAACTGAAAGTGAAAGGAGCATGCAGGTGTTTGGGGCAGGGTGGGGGGAGAGTGAAGATAATTTTAAAGACCCTGGTGCTTTGATCTTAGAGCATCCCTCATTTATACTCAGTTCAGAGCTAAGTGAATTACTGTGCGGATGACATGACGAGAGAGGGGTACTTTCCAATAGCAGCTTCAGGTCTGGCACGTGGGCCAGTTAGAGATTGACACACGCAGTCGGGGAGCTGCTATAAATTGAAGCCTGGTGATGGACATACTACAGTCTTGGCTGCAGCGAATGCTCATGACCTTTCACTTCTCCTTCCTCTGTCACACTGTGTATTCGCTCTCTCCATTTTCCTCCCTCACCTATTCACCAGCCATGAATCAGGAGTGGACTGATTCATGTGGACTGATTCAGTGGCAAGGATCAGCCTGTAGGGAAGTGATGTGGGCCGAGGGATCTCGCCCTGTGGCCCAGGCTGGAATGCAGTGGCACAATACTGGCTCACTGCAGCTTCAACCTTCTAGGCTCAAGAGATTCTCTCACCTCAGCCCCCAAGTAGCCGAGACTACAGGTGTGTACCGTTGGGCCAGCTAATTTTTATTTTTATTTTTTGTAGACACAGGGTCTTACTATATACCCAGGCTCTTGTTGAACTCCTGTGCTCTAGCAGTTGTCCCACCCTGGCCTTCCAAAGTGTTGAGATTACAGGTGTGAGCCACTGTGCCCTGCTGATGCTCAGGTTATTAACTTGAGACTTTTCTTTTTTTCTGATACAGGCTTTTAACATTACACATTTCTCCCTAAGTACTTCTCATATAGCTGCATCCATAAATTTTGATCTGCTGTGTTTTTCTTTTCCTGCAGTTTGAAGTATTTTTAAACTTCCCTTGTGATTTCTTCTTTGACTTTTGAATTATTTAGATATGTTTTCTAATTTCTAAGTAGTTGAGGAGTCCACAAATTTCTTTCTGTTCTTGATGTTTTAAAATTCCATTTTGGTAGAGAACATGCTTTATATGATTTTAATTCTTTTAAATTTATTGACACTTATGCTATGACCTAGTCCATGATTCATTCTAAACAATGCGGTATGTACACTTGAAAAGAATATTCTATTTGTTGTTGCTTGACATGGTCTACAGATGTTAGTTAGGTCAAGTTGGTTGACGATGCTGTTCAAAGTACTGATTTTCTGTTTAACTGTTATGTCAGTTATTAAGAGTAGAATATTGAAGTCTCCAAACATTATTGTGAATTGTCTATTTCTCCCTTCAGTTCAGTCAGTGTTTGCTTTATTGTATTTTCGCTCTGTTATTAAGTGCATATATGTTTATATTTTTATATATTCCTCATGAATTGACCCTTTCATTGTTACAAAATTTCTTCTTTTTCTCTCATAACTTTTTTGTCTTACAGTTTTAGTCTGTGGGACTTTTTGTGTTTTTGTTTGTTTGTTTGTTTTGAGACAGGGTATCACTCTGTCACCCAGGCTGGAGTACAGTGGCACAATCATAGCTTACTGTAACCTTGAATTCCTGTACTCAAGCAATCCTCCTGCCACAGCCTCCCATACTTTCTCTGATATTATTATAGCTACTGCAAAGCAAATTTCTTATGGTTTTGTTTGCTTAGTACATTTTTCTCCATCTGCATCTCTTGCAGACAGCATATGGTTGGGACTTCTAAAAAATTTAGTCTGACAGTCTTCACCTTTTATTGGAGTGTTTAATCCATTTACATTTAATGTAATTATTGATATGCTTGGATTACATCTAACATTTTGCTATGTTTTCTGTCTCATATCTTTTTGTTCTATTTCTCCTTACTATTTTCTTTTGTGTTAAATAGATATTTTCTAGTGTTCTGTTTTCATCTGTTTGGTGAGGTTTTTAATACTTCTTTGTATATTTTTAGTGGTTACTCTAAGGATTGCAATATGCTTCTCATCACGGTCTACTTTTTAAATGTCTATATATAGTTTTTAAAAAGTAGAGATGGGGTTTTGCCATGTTGCCCAGGCTGGTTTCAAACTCCTGGATTCAAGTGATCCTCCCATCTTAGCCTCCCAAAGTGCTGGGATTACAGGCATGAACCACCATGCCCAGCCCACAGTCTACTTTAGATTAATGCTAATTCATTTTCAATAAAATATAGAAACTTTGTTCCATTAAATGTCTATGTCTATCTATCTCTTTTGTGGTAATATGTCATATATATTATATCTTCATATGTTATAAGCCTAGTAGTAAAAGTCTGCAGTTACTGTTGTACGTACTTGTCTTTTAAATCAGCTAAGTGTAAAAAAGAGAATATTTATAAATCTGGTATATATTTGCTTATGTCATTAGTATTACTAGCATTCTTTATTTCTTCATGTGGATTCAGGATATAATCTCGTGGTTTTTTTCTTTCATCTTGAAGGTCTTCCTTTAGTATTTCTTGTAAGCAGGGTCTGCCAGTAACATATTTTCTGTCTTTTAGATAAAAGGAATATCTTTATTTCTACTTTTTAGTTTTGGGGTATAGTTTTGATGGATATGGACTTCTTGATTGGAAGTTTTTCTTTCAGTGCTTTGAATATGTCATTTTACCGTTTTCTGGTCTCTGTTTCTAACGTGAAGTCAGCTGTTAATCTTATCGTAGTGCTCCTTTACATGAAGAACCATTTCGTCTTGATGCAGTCAAGATTTTCTCTTTGTTTTTGGCTTTCAGCAATTTGGCTATGATGTGTCATGGTGGCTCAGTTTATTGAGTTGGTGTATTTTGAGCTTACTTTGAGTTTGTTAGATGTGAAGATTAATTTTTTAAAATCAAATTTGAGAAGTTTAGGCCGTTAGTTTTTCAAAAATATTTTTCTGTTTCCTTTTGCTGCTGCTTCTTTTGAGACTTCCTTTATATATATGTTGGTATGCTTGATGGTATCCCATGTGTTTCTGAGGTTCTTTTTATTTTTCTTTTTTTTTTTTTTTTTTTTTTTTGAGACGGAGTCTCGCTCTGTCACCCAGGCTGGAGTGCAGTGGCCGGATCTCAGCTCACTGCAAGCTCCGCCTCCCGGGTTCACGCCATTCTCCTGCCTCAGCCTCCCGAGTAGCTGGGACTACAGGCGCCTGCCACCTCGCCCAGCTAAGTTTTTGTATTTTTAGTAGAGAAAGGGTTTCACCGTGTTAGCCAGGATGGTCTCGATCTCCTGACCTCGTGATCCGCCCGTCTCGGCCTCCCAAAGTGCTGGGATTACAGGCTTGAGCCACCGCGCCCGGCCTTTATTTTTCTTTATGCTTTTTTATTTCTTCTTCAGATTAGATAATTTTAAGATCACTGATTCTTTCTTCTCTCATGTCATAGCCGCTCTAGTGAACTTTTCATTACAGTTATTATACTTTTGAACTCTAGAATTTCTGTTTATTTTCTTTTTATAATTTCTGTCTCTTTACTAGTATTCTCTATTTGATGAGTCATTGTTATCATACTTTCCTTTAATTCTTTAAACATGAATTCCTTCAGTTCCATTCTTATAGCAGTTTCTTATAACTTTGAAATCTTTGTTAAGTCCAATATCTGGGCCCTTTTAGAGTTTCCAGTTATGACTCTTGCCTGAGTATAATTCAGAACACTTTATGTTTCTTTGCATGTCTTGTATTTTATTTTTTTAAACTCTGTATTTTAGTTAATACATTGTAGCACCTCTGGATTATGATCACCTTTGGCAAAATGCAGGTTTGTTGTTTGTTTCTTTTTGTTTGTGACTTTCCTGAACTAATTCTATGAAGTCTGTTTCTGTAGCAGCTGCTGATGATCCTGCTCATTTTTTTTTTCTTATTTTTAAAATGTGTTTAAGCCTGGCTTTGCGGGGGTTACCCCTAGGTCAGCATCGCTTAGTGGTCAGGCAGTGATTGTTCAGAGGTGTGCTGAAACACCTTGAGCTACTAACGCTTCTCACAATTTGCAGTGGATATGTGTGTGGGTTTAGGGACATGTTCAGAATTCAGACATATATTATACGAGTCTGCCTTGGTTTTTCCTTTTTGCCAGGCCTTTTCTGGCCTCCTTTGTGCGTGGGGTAGGCCTCACTTTAGCCAGGGATGAGTGGATAACTAGGACCCTCTTCAGTCTTTCCTGCCTGTGTGCAGCCTTCCAGAGCATGAAGAATGTGTGGGGCTTTACCGCTGCCCACGATAGCTGCCTTATTCTCTGTATCTTCTGGCTAGGTTTTTGGCTGGTCTGCTGATCTGTAGGCTGCCACAACCAGTATTGCAGGCTCAGAGTGGCTGAGATGTTGACCTTCCGTACATTTCCTGTTGTTTACAGGAAATCACTGTGGTTTATGTCAGTGCCTTTGGGCATGTGCTCTCCTCCATATCAAGTCAACCCCTCCAGCAGTGGAGCCACCAATTTTCACAGCTTGTCCCAGCCTGGTAGATGTACCAGCATGGGTGAACTAAGGGGAAAGAGAGGAGCCCCTCAGGCCAAAGCATCACAGAACACCACTGCTCTAACTCAAGGTTTGGTTATTTTTCTTCTTCATTTTATTTTTTAATTCTTGAGATGAGGCCTTGCTCTGTCACTCAAGCTGGCGTGCAGTGGCACAGTCATAGCTCACTGTAGCCTCAAACTCCCAGGCTCAAGATATTTTCCTCCTTTTTAAAAAAGGAGCCTCTTGAGTGGCTGAGACTACAGGTGTGCACCACCATGCCAGGCTGACTTTTTGTTTTTTGTCAAGGCGGGGTCTTGATATGTTGCCCAGGCTGGTCTCGAACTCCCAGCCTCAAGCAATCCCCTGGCCTCGGCCTCCCGAAGTGCTACGATTGCAGGTGGGAACCACCATGCCCAGTGGCGTATTTTTTCTTGAATAAACATTTTTCAATTTTTTGTATGTCTTTGGTTGATTTCCATCCCTGTAGTGGTTGTTTTGACAGACTTGTCTAGTTTTATTTTTACTTTTTGAGGAGACGTTTTGCCAAGCTTCCCACTTCATTATTCCAGAAGTTCTGCCCCTCTCCCCAGGTCATCTTTTTGTTTTTTTCTTCTAACTTTCTTTCTTTCTTTCTTTCTTTCTTTCTTTCTTTTTTTTTTGAGATGTAGTCTCGCTTTGTTGCCCAGGCTGGAGTGCAGTGGCATGATCTCGGCTCACTGCAGCCTCCACCTTCCAGGTTCTAGCAGTTCTCCTGCCTCAGCCTCCCAGGTAGCTGGGATTATAGGCACCTGCCACCATGCCCAACTGATTTTTGTATTTTTTAGTAGGGATGAGTTTTCACCATGTTGGCCAGGCTGGTCTCGAACTCCTGACCTCAGGTGATCTGCCCGCCTCGGCCTCCCAGAGTGCTGGGATTACAGACGTGAGCCATCGTCCCCAGCCGGTTTTTCTTCCAACTTTCTAAGTACTATAAGCTTGTTGTAAAATTTGGCAATATAGAAATGCAAATGGAAATGAAAATCTTTACTAATCCCATCCCTTAAAGATAGCCACTGTTAATAAGTTAGTGAATTGTTTTCCAGGCTAAGGTCTTTCTTTAATCATCATATTTTTGATTATATCCTCTTACCAAAATTCCTTTACACCTTACCACAAAGGTTTCTAATTCAGAGACTTCCTTTAGCTCTCTTGATTCAAGGAGATAAAGTTAATTAGCAATCAGGAGATGAGGACAGAATTCTAAGACGGGGGGAGTTTTAGATCCTCAGTGAACTCAGTTCTGCTGCACCTTTCTCAGCATCCTCTCTGCAGTTTTCTCGTTCCCTGGCTTTTTATCCTCCTGATCACACATACCTTCCCAGGTTCTCCAGGAAGGTAGCGGATCAGTCACTTCCCCTGTGACGTCATTGTAGGCATGATTACGTCTTGAAGCGTTCTCTCAACAAGAGTCAGTGTAGCATGGGGTTCCAGGCCTGAGCTCTGCTGTCACATTGCTTGGAGTTCAATTTTCAAGTCTCCTTTTTTTTTTTTTTTTTTCCCCCTTGGAGACAAGAGTTTCTCTGTCGCCCAGCCTGGAGTACAGTGGGGCAATCTTGGCTCACTGCAACCTCTACCTCCCAGGTTCACGCCATTCTCCTGCCTCAGCCTCCCAAGTAGCTGATACTATAGGCGCATGCCACCACGCCTGGCTAATATTTTGTATTTTTAGTAGAGACAGGGTTTCACCATGTTGGCCAGGGTGGTTTTGAACCCCTGACCTCAAGTGATCTGCTTACCTTGGCCTCCCAAAGTGTTGGGATTGCAGGCATGAGCCACTGTGCCCAGCCTCAACTCTCCTTTTTTTTTTTTTTTGACAGTCTCACTCTGTCACCCAGACTGGAATGCAGTGGCGCGATCTCAGCTCACTGCAACTTCCACCTCCTGGGTTCAAGCAATTCTTCTGCCTCGGCCTCCCAAGTAGCTGGGATTACAGGTGCCCACCACCACGCCTGGCTAATTTTTGTATTTTTAGTAGAGATGGTATTTCACTATGTTGGCCAGGCTGGTCTCGAACTCCTGACCTGAAGCAATCTGCCCACCTTGGCCTCCCAAAGTGCTGGGATTACTCAACTGTCCTTCTTACAGTCCTCTGTGACCTTGGGTTCCCTGGGCCTTGGTTTTCTCATCTCTGAAGTAGGGCCGGGAGCAACCCTTGCAGCACTGGGTTGTGTTCAGGGTTTAGCAGGGCACTGTGTGGAACGTGCTGGCCATGGTGCTCACACATCGAGAACACGCCATAAATGCTCCCCAGGCCTCCGCTTCCTGGTGTCGTCATCCTTATTCAGAACGAACAAGAAATCACTCCTTCAAAGTAACATTTCAGACAGAGGAGAGAGCTTTGAGGGGGCCTCTGGCGTGCTCACAGAAGCTTTGGTATTCGTTCAACCACGTAGGAGCCAAGCATTTCCTACAGAATGCAGGGAGCAGGGCTGGCGGGGAGATAGTGGGTGAAAAGAGAGGCTGGTGTTGGGAAGGAAAGAGACAGAACCGTGGCTGGCAGACACACGAGATAAGCCAGGATGATGGAGTCACTGCAGCTGGGTGCGGAGTTTCTTTCTGGGGTGATGAAAGTGTTCTAGGTTGGTTCTGTGTGAATATGCCAGGCACCACTGAATTGTACCCTGGAAATGGGTGAATTATATGGTATGTGAATTATATCTCAATAAAGCTGTTATTTAAAAAATGATGGACAGTCCCAGCTACCCAGGAAGCTGAGGCAGGAGAATTGCTTGAGGCCAGGGGTTGGAGGCTGCAGTGAGCTGAGATTGCACCACAGCACACCAGCCTAGGCAACAGAACCAGACCCTGTCTCTTTAAACAAAAACCTAAACAATTGTAGATTTTTTTAAAAGGAGGTTTTTTTGTTTTTGTTTTTCCTGCCAAAACCCTTCATAGACATGAAATAACGGAAGAGTAAGATTTGCGTGTGGCCGGGGGTGGGGTTCATTAGTACAGGTTACCCGAAAGAACCGAGTTGTTGGTCTGACCTCTGCTGGGACTCGCCATGTGTCATGGCAGGCCTGGCACCTGAAGGAGAGCTTGAGCACTTTGCACTCACATCACCCGGGGCCCGACGTGGGTGATGGTCACTGTCATGACACAGCTTGAGAACAGGCAACCTGGGTGTGGCCACCGTGTCAACCGGAGATAATAAAAACACACAGGTAAACCTCCGCACCTCCATCGTCATGCCACATGATAACAACAGCACGTATTTGCTGAAGTCCTACTATGCACTAGGCACGCTGCTGAGTGCCCGTGATGCAGAGAGGAATTTGGGTGTCAGTCATTTCTGCCCCCGCAGATCACACACTGCTTTCCAGCGTTCCCAGGAGGTGAGTTTTGAGGTTAGAATTCTGCTTCTTCCAGTGAGGACTGATTCTGACTCCTGGGAGAATGAAAGCCCCTTTTAAATTTACTTTGGCTGGGTGTGGTGGCTCACACCTGTAATCCCAGCACTTTGGGAGGCCAAGGCAGGTGGATCACTTGAGGTCAGGAGTTAGAGACCAGCCTGGCCAACGTGGTGCAACACCATCTCTACTAAAAATACAAAAATTACCTGAGCGTGGTGGCGCACGTCTATAGTCCCAGCTGCTTGCAAGGCTGAGACAAGAGAATCGCTGGAGCCCGGGAGCGGAGGTCGCAGTGAGCTGAGATTGCACCATTGCACTCCAGCCTGGACGAGAGAGCAAGACTCCGTCTCAAAAACAAAACGAAACAAAACATTACTTTGAAGCCACAGCATTTTTGCACAGGTAGGAAAACTGCTGGGCCTGGAGATTTTCTATAAATGTGTTGAGATCTGATG